CATGATGCCGAGCAGACGTACTGCTGATCTCTTGACATTGGCGGCACCACATTGGCACAAACGGTGCTGGCATCCAGGACGAAAAACTCTCCGCCCAAGATGCGAACCATGTAGTCTTCAATCAGCCTGAACAACGAGTGTATGACGCTCCAGTGAAAGAAGGTGTGCCAATGGAATCCTCCCAGTCACCGCAGCGCACGCGCTCTGGCGTAACCGCCAGCCCTGCTGCGTAAAACTTCTTGCCGATTCAGAGAGCCGCTCGCAACACCAGCCAGGTAAGTGATGCCTCGTCGTTGTTGAGACATTTCAACCCGGGCGCCCAAGGCAGGACGGAGCGAAACTCCTCGTTCGTAAAACCAAGCTCGTCCTGGTGTTTGTCTTTGGCGTCTACCCTCACTAAAACCCGATATAATGCCTTCTGAGATAACGCCTTGGTGTCGGAGAGGCGATCCTTCACCTGTAAGAGGCAGCACGGCGCATTTCGACATTCCTCATAGAAAGGCTATTCGTCTTGAGGCGTTCGGTTTTCCTCCACCTCTCCCTCATGCACACTTCCCAGAGATGGGAAAGATTGGCGAGCGTCTTCCTTCCAGAATTCACCCCCTCCTCCGTCCCCATCCTCGATACATATCCGTTGCAGGAAATTCAGGTGCAGCGTATGTTGACGTGTCTCAGCGCTGGGCATACCTAGACCGCCTTCTGAATGATGGAGGTAGCAGACCTCGCGACGTACCAGAAGAACCATCCCTCTCCAAAGGAAATCAAAAAAGTCACCAACGAACTTTTTTCGTTCGGTAGACGGGAGTGGAAGAACAGAGAGACGGTAAAAGAGAATCGGGTAGATGTGCGAGATGCACACTTCCGCCCTCCCCTTCAAGGAAAGATTCAGCTGAGTCCACAGTCGCACTGCTTCCTCGACCCTCTTCCGAACCTCGGACCAGTTAGTGTCCAGCTGAAGGCCGGGCCCGAACCAGATACCGAATATCTTAACGGGGGCCGGAGAGAGGAACCCCCTCCCACTCGCCCAACCGCAAGTCGACTTATCACGGCTCATCTTGGCCCCCGCCACCGTCTCATACCTGCAAATCTCTTTACCGACTTCATGTATTTCGGCGGCGTTCTTAACAAACACCGACACGTCGTCGGCATAGGCGGAATACCGCGCAACGTTGGTGGCACCAGGCAACGAAATTCCGCGAAGGACTGGATTCGCCTTTCACTTGCGCAGGAAAGGCTCCAAAGCAAGAACGTAGGGCATAGGCGAAAGTAGACAACCTTGACGAATGGAGCAAGACAAGGTGAAAGGCTCCGACCTCACCCCGTTTAACTTCATCAGCGCCCCCGGGGACCTGTACAGGACAAGGATTCAGGAACGAAAGTGCGGCCCAAAGCCAGCAGACGCGAGGACAGCCTCGAGGAAACGATGGTCCACCCTATCGAATGCCTTAGACTGATCCAAATTGATCAGCGCGGCTTCATCGTCGACTTTTTCTAACGAATCATATGAAGGTTGTCCTAAAGAGTCCTGCCCTTCACAGCACAAGTTTGCTCGGGGCCAGACTAGATAGGACAAACTGTAAACGGTTGGACAAGACCCTCGCCAAAATTTGACATCTGCATTTAGCATAGTCAAAGTGTGAAAATTATCCATCCCATCTCCTCCGCCTTTGTCCTTACAAAGCAACTTGATGACGCCCCTAATGAAGCGTTGGGGTATATTCCCATTGCATTCCTAATTAGATGTTTCCAGATATTGTTCATCACTATGCTAGATCTACTGAGGAAGTTTTCAGAGTCTAACATGCATACTGGTTCTTTCAGTCCTCTGATGTTCTATGTTTATTATCTTGACTTCTTTCCATAGAAGTTGATGACAACCATTTTCCCACCATGCCTGATTTCAATGTCTCTCCCTGAACTACAGACTTTTGCTGTTTCTCCACTCTTAATTTTAGAATGCAGCTTATCATGTCCTGTATTCCTTGGCACATCTGTATACTCTGACCTCACTATGAAGATATGCAAGCACTGTTGGACTATGAAAGAGAATATCCACCAAGATAATGCTATAGTCGCCAGGCAAAAAATGTGATAGCTTATCAGGGAATTTGTTGGAGAATGAAAATTAACTAATAAATAAAATAAATAATAAACATAATAATAAAATTAGCAATAATGCAAATGGAAACCAAAAAAAAAAAGGGGTTTCCGGTCACGTGCAAAGTTTGTGACCCCACTTCCGGAAAGGAGATTATCTTTCTCTGGATACTTTCGAATCATTGGATTCGGACATGTTTTGCAGCTGTCCTAAGGAAAGGAGATTCAATCATCCTCTTTCAACGTCATGATGATTTGAGGTCGGCCACTCTTTTACCTTCGAGTTTAGTATACATACGTGCGTCAATAAAATATTACAGGGACCAAAATTAACCGCGACAAGTCGTCCGGCTTGCGGTTAAGTGCCTGGAAGGGGGTCGATCTTCCGGGGCCCTTCGGTTGGACGGACGGTCTTGTTCGCATTCGTGTGGTTTGGACCCGACCTCCAGCTGGAGAAAAATTAGTCTGAAGTACCAGCAAAGGTCGATGCTGCCGGTCAGACTTGGCGTCGACGGAGGTTGTCCGTGAAGGGCAGGGCGGAGGTGTGTGCTACATACATTTTCCCTCTTGTCCTTTATCGATTGTCCGTACTTCCTCTCTGTAGACGCCATCGGAGGGCGCTCAAGCGCTCGCTATCCTCCATTTTATGGAGGGGACGCGGGAATCGGGTCTACAGACGAGTCTGTGCACAACGTCCATGTCATGGGGGGCTGGGAATGCCACACGTGGTGAGCCACAAACTCGCCTCAAGGTTGGCTTTCCTTACTATCAGTCCCCCCCCACCTCGCGGGTTGAGCGCCATTGTAAACCCCGGGTTCAATTGGATTTCCTTCGCGAGTGTCGTTAGGCCTTGTTGGCTGTTCCTTGGTCCTATCGTCTTTTAGTGGAGGGGGTCGAGAAGGATTCCCTACGTGATCAGCTCGAATTGTCGGGGGATGAGTTTCGCTCTTACTGGTCTTGGGTGCCAGCGGTGGATTATCTCAGTAACCCTGAGTTTTCGTTTACCTGGCGATTGTCTCGGAATCGGCTGCCTCTCAATGACAAGGCCTTCATATGGGGCTTGGCGGATTTGCCAGACTGCGAACGGTGTTTCCTTGGTTTCGCACGCCTTCTACCATTGCCCCCGGGTCCGCTCCTTATGGGACCATATCGGCGAGTTGACGGCTCGTCTAGCTCACGAAAGGCTAGTGACCATTGATCGCGCATACGCGTGTGACAATGTGTCGCCCTCGTATTCTGGGGTGAAACGGATGGTGTTTCTGACGCTGCTGACCACGGCTCGCATGATGATTTGGACGATGGAGGAAGTCTTGCGAGGCAACCGTCTTTCTCATCAGGATCTAATTCGATTCTTTGAGCATCAGCTCAAGATGAAGATTAGAACTGATAGAAAACAATTGCATTCGACAGTCTTCAGCGAGCTTGGTTCGTTTGAACAGGGCTAGCCTTGATTTTCTCTTTTAGGTCAACCTATGTCATATAAGGGTGGTTTCCTTTGGAGTCCTCCCCTTGGTTAGGTTAGACAAGCTTTTGTGTGCCTAGTTAATGTGAGTAAATGTTGTTCCTGGCCTGTTCCCAGCTACATCTTTGGTTATGATCCAAATTGAGATTCCCAACCTCCCCAGTTTGTTTTTGGTCCCCTTTTTTATCTCAACTGGGTCAGCTTTATATTTTCCCATGGTCGTATAATTTTTTATCCTTTTCCCACTCCTTTAGCGAGAGAGTCTCTTGATTTTGTCCCGTGGGCAGAATACAGCGGCCTCTCTGTTTTAAGGGTTGGACGGGCCCTACTAACATCAGTTATGTTTAGTTTACTTTGTGTTGATTTTTTAGTTTATTATTGGGTTCATCTCCCTTCCCTTTCATTTTTCATCTTTAGAATTGTATATATAGTTTATTATCATTAAATTTTTATGGCATGGGGCGCGTTTTGTAGGTTCCCCTTGAGTGGATGCGGTATTGTGGTGTATGGAGGATTGAGTGGTGATGGACGAATTTTTGTGGTGAATGGGCAAATTGTAACGAGTGAATGGGTCGTGAATCGGATTAGCTAGGTATAAGATAGTGAAGACCAGCCGCAACCCCCCTCTTTTTCGGCCTTGTGCCACAATTGTATTTTGTATACAATAAATAACAGTAGTATCTGTGCACTGCCTTTTCGATCTTCCCGGTGCTTCTTCGAGAGATACCCTTCGGCGTGATTCCGTTCCCGCGGTTTATCCGCCCAGCAAGACGTATCGTCTTACTGACTCAGCCCTGTTTAGGGACTCCAGCTTCGTTGAGGCGATTCGCCCTAATCATTGAAGAAGACAGCCAGGCGGCATCCACTCCAGTTTCGGTTTGATAACACTTCTGTCAGCTTTCCCGACCAAACCAAGCCCTACCGTCCATCCTACAAGACGACCAACCGACCAGCGATTTCTCAAAGTACCATCCCGGACCAGATGTCAATCCAGACTTTTCTCCTGAGTGTACATAAAAAAATAAAAAACAACACGCACGTCGTTTTAACGAAATAAAATCGACGTTTGGTTAAAATATAAACCTCAGCTTTTGTCTCCTCATTGTCTTGACTGTTCACACCTTTCTTCGAAAACAAATGGTGTCGACGACATCGGTCCCACAACAAAGTAGTAAAGTTGAATGAAGTCAGTAGGAATGGAAATAAATGTTTGCTTTTTCTCATTGATTTTTCAGTTGGTATTACCTTATTAGTGCAATAATTCCAATTTTAAATTAAGACGAAAATATTGATTCATAATCTAAACAATAAACATTTTGGAATTTATAGTCAGGAATTTATGGTAAAAATCATGCAATTAAAACGGGAGGTAATTGTGTATACTCAAACCAAATTTAGTTTAGAACTCTTTAGTAAATTATCTTTCTTGGAGTTTGTAGGTATGGCGGACATTTCAAGTTTAGATCTTTCGCAAGTGAAGCGAGAGTTAATTCAGGCAAACTGGGATTGCAGTATTCGTGGTTTAATACATGGGGCAACAAGGTAGGCAATAGAAATTATCAACTAGTCAAATTAAAATATTTGACTGTTGTAAAAGTATTAATGGTTTTAGATTTTTAAATAAATCTGCAAAAATTACTCGTCTCGTCGATTATTAAAGTATTTTTTATTTATGCGAATTATTACAAAAATCGTTTTTTTTAATAGGTCAGTTGTTTTTTTTTTACTGATAATTTAATGGCAGAAGAAGCTAGCATAAAGAAATGTACATATCATAACTCGTTCTCTACTAAAAAAAAAAACTGTGTAAAGTAACAAAGTACATTGTAACTTTGTTACTTTTTTTTTTACACATTACAAAGTAAATATTTAAAATCTCATGGTATTGTTTCATTTCGGCAAAATATTTAAAAATTCATACTATGAATACATTAAAAAAAACGCAGTTGTTGCTGCATTCATTCTCTCGTTTACTAGAATTTGGTAAGTTTTTGCTGTTATGTTTGAAATAATATCCACCACCCTATTTAGTAACATCTCATTATTTCCATATGCATTTTCTAAGTAATTCCGAAATGTAAAATTATGAAGGCAAGTTTCTACAGCATTTACTTTAAGTAGTTCCGTTAAATTCTCTATGGCTTTTCCTTTAATAATGTCTGATAATAATTTTAAAAACTAAAACTACACCGTGAACCGGATGTTTTATGCGTGAAAGAATTTTTTTAGTTTTTTTTTTTTTAATAATTTTGTGTGTAGTGTACAGTGTACTGTACTTTTACAGTACACACAAAAAAAATCAACAATTGCTTTTTTTTTCCCACAAAAAGACTAAAATTGAAACATATAAGTACCCAGTACTTGTTAAGGGTAATTTGTAGTGTAATCCTCGCGCTCAGTTTCTAATAAAACTTTCCAGAATAGGTGTAACTGTACAGAAATTCGAAAATAACAAAGAAATTTTGCTACCATCTACCGTTTTGTGGAATTATCGACAATAAAAGTTCTGACTGTTGCTTTTCACAATTTGTTATTAATGTTGTGAATAAATGAAAGAAACTGTTCTTTATATGATGATCCACTGTCTCATTCATAGACAAAAAACAAGCAATCATTTGAATTTACTCTCTAATTATTCTATTTATTATCTTTCTCTGCTTCTTGAAAAAATTGCTAAAAATCCATAGTGTGGTAAAAATACTTTACCGGAATCACCAATACAAATAATTGGCAATCATGTTTTTTGTAAATTTTTAGCTTTTAGAATAAATTATTTTTTTTTATTTCATTCAAGCTCTCTATTTCTTTTATATGGAAAATATTAAATTCCACAGAATTTGAGAAAAATACATTTTCTTTTTTTTTTCTTTTTACTCCTTTTTCTAGAGCTGCTGAACTTGCTTACTGTTTAAAGACTACTAAAGATACTGATGGTGACATTCCCAAAATCTCCCAACTGGTAAGAAAGAAATTGATATTGATTGATTAAAATCATGATTATCATTTGACTGTCTTTCAAAGCATACTAGAGAGGGAAAAATTGCAAAAAAATAATGTTTCAACTCATAGCTTAGTTTGTAAAACTAAAATAGACTTGAAAACACATATTTCTTGTACAGTTTACTTTTAATCAGACTGTAGTTGACAAAAATAGTTTTACATCACAATATATTGAAGAATTCATTGATCTCAATAAATATTTTTATTTAATATTTTCTTGAATTTGAGTAATCAGTTTAAAAAAAAAATGTAAGCAACTTTAATTAGGAATTATCCAAATTTTAATTTGTTTACATTTTGAGATTTGGAGAAATATTTAACATAATTGGAAAATAGATTTGGACAAAATTTTGCCTTGATATGTTTCACTGAGATGGTGTCATCAGAAAAAAATATTTTACAAGAACAAAATCTGCATTAAGATAAAATGTAGATACCTCCATGAGATCACTAATAAATGAGCATAGAATGATGAAATAGACCCCATTTGATGAAAACAAAATTTTATCATCTAAATGTTTGTTATTAGTAGAGGAAAGAACAAAGTATTTTTAATTATTTTAAAAAAATTTTCCTTCTTTTTAGAACATTCTAACTTTTGATTAAAAATTTTTTATTTCTCTTTGTATCAGTGGAACTACTAAATAACATAAAATTTTAGTGAGTTTTTTTTTGTATGACAGACATTAATTTGGAAAATCTTGCAAAAATAATAATTGTCAGATGTTAATGAAACTTTCAGAAACTATTCACAAATGATGGAAATTATAAATGTGAATTTTTTTTTTTTTTTTAAATCATGACAAAAATATATTATATTTATTACCCCACTGTTTTTTTTTTTTAATTGGACCCCCTCTACCTGAAAATCAGTTCTGAATTGTAACATACAAAACTCAATAAAACAAAGATATTATTTAATTTCAAATGCTTTTAGTTGATTTTATGAATATGGATAATATTGTCTGAAAGCAAAAAACGTTTTTGATAAAATATGAATTTTTAAAACAATTATTTGCTATTTCTTAAATTATTTTATTATTTTCACATTAGAGTTGTTAAATATTATAAAATTAGTGGAAATGGTGTTCAGTTTAGTCAGTGGTGTTATTAAGTAAATCTATCTTTTAGCATTATAAGTTGTATAGCTTATAACAATCAGAATAACAACCTGTATAAAAAAAAACTAATTTCATATGGCTTTTGTGTCCACAAAACAGCTGTAATTCAAAGTTATTGAAGACCAGCAAGAATACAATAAAAAGTTGCATTATTTGAATTAATCATTGTTCTCCGCTATTACAACCTTTATTTTTGCGAATTGTTTTTATATATATATATATATATATATATATATATATATATATATATATAGACCTGCCATATATACAAAAAATATTAAGATTGAGACACTTATTTGCTGATGTGTGATCACCACTTGTGAAGTCTGTAGTCGTGTGTTCAAAATTGTTCAAAAGATAGTAATTTGACAACAAACTGAGTACAAAACAACAAGGCAATAGTGTTTGATTAAAGCCAAATTTTATTTTGGCAACAAAACCAAAATACATACAAAAGATATTTATGCTAAAAGGATAAATGATTTTTAAGGATGTGCTGAAAAGAAATATCAAATTATGCCTATTAGTCCTTTCAAGGTATAAAGAATGTTTATGCAAATGATTAATCTGAAACATCCTTGTAATAAAAGGAGTGTAAAGAAATGAATGCAAAATGGTCCTTCAGAAGTATTCATATATTTGATGTAGAGTCCTTGAAGAAAGATTGAGTTTGTATATGAAAGAAAATCAGTAACATTCATGCCAAAGTAATGTTAAGGAAAGTTTGAGTTTTGGTATTATCCCTGGCAAAAGAAGTTGTATTGCAGTTGAAAATATCTTGTATGCTGAATAATTTTGGTGAAAGGACAAATCAAAGATAGTCCTGGTCAAAGGGAATAGAGTTCATACAAAAAGATTTAAGTATTAGTCTTTGAAGAGGAACAGTAAATCCATTTTGTGTAGTCTGGAGAATATATGAGTTGCCGACAAAAGGATAGACCAAAGTTTGTTGATACAGCAAGAAAGAAATCTCTTAATATCCTTGAGTTGTGAACAGTGGATAAAATCCATAAAAATGAATTCATGATGTCTGCATCTTCATTGATGTTGACTTATGCCAGAATTGTTTGGCAGGAAAATCAATGAGAGACATGCCAGAAGTGGCACTGCGCACAATAGAAGGTTGATGTTGTAGAAAACATTTGGAGCGCATGGGCAAAAGTGTTGAAAATAAAACTGACATGCACAGAAGTACACAAATGCTGTGTTTAACCGCTAAGTAAGAATTGGCAGGAAAAGAAATTGAACATGCCAGAAATGGCAAAAATACAAAAATGGTGATGTGCCAAAAACTGCACTGGAACTTCGTGTGTTAGAAAATTAACAAAGCAATGTTACTAACTCAACAAGCAATGGGTTTGGGTTTGCTCTACAGTCAGGCAGGAACTTAATTAATCACTAAAACCAGAGCAGAAAGCAAAGTAAAGTTTAGAAAAAGAATTTCTAGTTGAGAAAGTTGGAAAAGCATTTTTCCAAGAAAATAGATGTGAAAATGGAGAAAGAAAGCAAAAAATAGGAAGGAATTGTCCTCAATGCTAATTAATGCAAAAGTAAACTGTTACTTCCTTGAGGCAGCTCCCAACAGAACATTTTGTTCCAGGAAGGGACCCTGGGATCTACCTTGATCCCACCCCCAACTGAGTCAAGTGACACAAAGTCAGTTTTTAATGTGGGGACTTGAGTGTTTCCACTGGTCTTAGCCGGTCATACCACTGCTATGGAACAGATGTTATGCAAGGGAGGAGAGAAGGCCTCTGGCATGGAATAGATACTACAACTGCAGTATCTATTCCAACAGGAAAAAACCCCTTCTCTTGCTCATCCTTCCAGAAAAATCCAGAAGGAGAGCCTGAGATTTACCACTCGGGCTGCTGGTCAGAGCTTGTCATACCACCACTACAGTGGGTAGGGGGGAATGCAAAAGAGGAGAGAAGGCCTCTGTAATGGAACAGATACTATAACCGCAGCATCTACCCCGCCACTGAATCAGGTTGTGACACAAGGTCATTTTTAACATGGGGACCCAAGTGTTTCCACTCGGGCTGCTGGTCATAGCCAATCATACCATCACTGTGTAGCAGATGTTATGCACCGAGGGGGGGGGGAATGCAAGGGAGGAGAGGAGGTTTCCAGCATGAAACAGATATTACAACTGCAGCATTTTACTCTGACGGGAAAACCCCTTCTTTTCTGCTAATCCCTCCAGAAGAACCTGGGATGAGAGTCTGAGATTTACCTTGCCTTATTTAATTGTAATATATGGAAAAATATTCGTGAATATGAAAGGGTTATGATAAAAATAAGCAGACATAATGTTTGTAATTTATTATTTTTTTATTTAAATTTAATTTTATTTATTCATTTTTTTCAGTGGGTAAACCCACTTTTCAGCACAATTGTTTGCCACCAGTGGCACAGCAAAGGTTTGAGGCAGCCAGAGATTTTATATACAACTTTCCCTCTCATAGAAGAATGTTCCAAAAAGAATCAGTGGCCATTCACTCCCAAGCAAATCCTAAAAAGGACTAGGGGCCCCTAACACCTAGTGGTCTGATATAATGTTATTGTTTGAACTGACAATAGTGTTTATTTAAAAACACTAAAATTAATCTCATACATCCTAGATAATCAAAAGTCTTATTAAAGAAAATTCGCCTCTTACCAGAAACTGAATTTGCATTCTCTTCCTTTTTGAGGGGGAGAGGGGGCCACCTTTTTGCTAAGTGTGCTGTTGTTGTTTCAGCCATGAAGATCCTTACTACAAGAAGACAAAGCTCAAGACATAGGTAATTTTGCTCCAAGGAAGAGCTAATAATCCTATCAAATGAATAGTCAATGCTATATTGATGACAAACTTCCTTAACTGGAAGCATTGAGGTGTTTAAAAATCAATACAACAGAGAAAATAGTAGAAACAATAGATAAGTATATTTTCATTCACAAAGTTATATTGTTACTCAAAGTAAGTCCATTTACACTTATCCACAAATACAAAAACACAAGAGTGTTGCAATCACTTGATGATCAATGTGGCTGTCTGTTTATATGAGCATATGCATTGCACTGTGAACAGGTCCCAACTTGTGATTCTCATATTTTGTCTCACATTGTAGTTGACACTTCATTGCCTTTGGCAGGTTGTCAGAGTTCTTAGAGCTCATCACCTGTATCAATTTTATGAGTGATCACTCAGTGATGATAAATTTTACTGGCAAAGTTGTTCCTGCTTTTCCTTATTTGATTTATATCCCCCCCACCAAGTGTTATTCCATTTAAAGAAGTATTTGAATGTTAATGACACTTCTCAAAACTATAGGAAATACCAAAATATTCCTTGTTTGTAGGGATATTTATATATTTAGGAATGTGACCCAATTATTCCCATTTAGCCTTCTTTTTTTTACACAGGTTCTTTGTATATCTCCTTTGAATTTTTTGGTGGGTAGCATATGTTGAAATACCTTTTTAATACTCAAAATCTGATATTGCTCACCAAAATTTCCAATTACCCACAGTTTCTCATCACCCAGGTTGGTAAACCATGATCAAAACTGACAGGCTGGGCAAAAGAGAGCATTAATCAGAGAAGCAACCAAAAGGCCCATGGTCACTCTGGAAGAGCCACAGCATAGGTGGAAGAATCTGTCCACAGGACAATTATGAGTTGTGCATTTTTATGGAAGAGTGGCAAGATAAAACCTATTTTTGAAAGAAAGCCATAAGAAGCCTTATTTGCAGTTTGTCATGAGCCATGTAGGAGGTATGACAGGCATGTGGAAGAAGATGCTCTGAAGTGAAGTGAGTAGCTATGGTCAAATGCAAAATAAAGAATAACTGT